ACGGGCCCTCAGGGCGTGGTGATCCGACCATGGTACTGCCGAAGCAGTAATCTGGTCCACCATCACTCCCGCAGCAAAGATCAAATCGAGCGTGTGACCGCCCCGATGCGTGGGGGCCGAAACGACCTGGGAGAGTCCTAGTGCCTCTATGGACAACACTAGGTCCATAGCCCGGCTGGAGGTCGCGTCCTCAGTATGGACGTTGAAGTCACCCAAAACCAGCAGCCTCGGGTGCTCCAGCGCCCAGCCTGATACGGCCTCCAGCAGGGATGGTAGGCTATCAGCCGGTGCATTAGGTGGTCGGTACACCAGCCAAATCGCCAAACTCTCCTCAGTCTCCATCATCGCGCCGACACACTCTATGCCCGTTATCTCTACCCGCGGGAGCGCCCTGATGGAGTAAGCCTCCTGAATGAAAAGCTTCCACTCCTCCCCCCGCCCTCGGTGAAAGACCGAGAAACCCGGGGAAGCAAGCTGGGCGAGTGCCACTGTCTCTCCCTCCTGCACCCAGGTCTCGGTCACGCACGCCAGGCCTGCTTGCTGTTCTAGCACGAAATCTTGTAGGATTTCGGCTTTGTTGTTGATAGACCTGGTGTTGCATAACACCAGTGACGGAGGAGGGTTCTTAATCCAGGCCCCACTGCCTGTCATCCTTGGGATGGGTCGAAGGCTGGAAGGGCGCCGAGCCTCTCTATTTCTCTGCGCCCTTCGCTCTAAACTCTGCCTAGACCCACCGTCATACTTCCCTCTCCCCAAGAGCACTGGAATACGTTGTCCATCCATCATATTAGCAGACTCCGCAGACATTTCAGGCCGCCGACCGATGGTAGGGTCCAGTACTCCAGCTACTAAAAATTGTACAATCTGACTAAATGCTATCTATAATAAAACATACCCTAACTGGTTGTGTCAGGGGTACTTCTAACTAAACAAACTAGGCCCTGACAGTCCCACCTAACCATCCATACAACACCATACATAGCAACACATCACCCCGCCCTCCCCCGTAGGGCTTCAAGCCCACTTTTGCGCTCTCCTCTTTTACTCTGAGCAAAGGGCTCTTTAGGTCCTCTTCACTTTCTGCCATTAGAGTGGTATCGTCTGCATATCTGAGGTTGTTGATCTTTTCCCCAGCAATCTTAATTCCCGCTTGTGATTCATCCAGGCCAGCATTTCGCATGATGTACTCTGCATATATATTAAATAAGCAAGGGGACAATATACATCCTTGTCGTACTCCTTTTCCTACGTGAAACCAATCAGTTGTTCCATATCCAGTTTTATCTGTCGCTTCTTGGCCCTTATACAGGTTTCTCAAGAGACATGTGAGGTGATCTCGTACTCCCATCTCTTTGACCTGCCATAGTTTGTTGTGATCCACACAGTCAAAGGCTTTAGCATAGTCAAAGAAGCAGAAGTAGATGTTTTTCTGGTACTCTCTTGCTTTCTCCATAATCCAGCGAATGTTGGCAATTTGATCTCTACCTCTTTGAAACACAGCTTGTACTTCTGGCAGTTCTCTATCCACGTACTGTTGATGCCTAGCTTGTAGGATCTTGAGCATGACCTTGCTAGCGTGTGATATGAGTGCAATTGTGCGATAATTGATGCAGTTTCTCAGGGCCTGCAAAATGGAGATGTTCTGCCAGGCCTATGGTTGAGCTGGTGGCAATTCCATCTGTACTGGCCTCCCCTCTCCTGCCTTGCTTTGTTGCTCTGCTTGGTGGTTCATTCGCTATAGTACTATCACAATATCCACAGACACACCTGAAGTGCAATCCTCTTCAATAAGACAACGCACCTAGTTGTACCAGACTGTGTGCTGCCATCTGATTGACTAGATGTATATTGTAGTTATTTATTGTCATTTTAAATTGGGTTTTAAGGTTTAATTTATTTTTATTTGAATATTGTTGTTGGTACCTGACGTTAGCTGCCCTGAGCTCTGCTTTGCAGGGGAGGGAGGGCTATAAACGGAAGATAATAAATAATAGATTAAAAAAAGGCCACATGTCTGAGCTGCAGTTTCCCAGCAGCCCCTTCTGGAATCTGCCATGCAAGTGAGAGCAGAACCACCCAAGCACAGGCACCCCCCACTCCCAACCCACCCGCCGTCAGTGATATCGGAAGCTGCTGAGAGGCCCAGGAGAAGCAGCACAGACACACACGGCCTCTCACTCTCCCAGCAAAAGTCATCAGCCAGGGTGTTTCCATCCCGAACCCAGGTCCGAATCCAGATTGAAATGGAACGAGATAACCTGTTCTCCTCTGAGACCACCTGAAGCTGTGTGGCTCGCATCCGCTCAAGCGGCTGCTCTCCTAACACCCCACACCTTCTTGTCAGGGCCCTCAGGGCTTGCGGGGGTGGGTGAGATCAAGCAGCCCAAGCATATAGGATGCCTCTGCTGTAGCCTCTCAGTAGATGTTGATATGGAGACTGAAAATAGACCTTCAAATCCCTTTTCTTGCTTATTTATTTTTATCCTCCAGCTGGTGAAGACTCATAACTTGCTCCCAAGCCACAATTATATTGTTGGCATCCACCCCCATGGGATCCTCTGTGTTGGTGCTTTCTGCAATTTTGTCACTCATTCCACGGGTTTCTGTGAGAAATTCCCAGGGATCCAGCCCTTCATGGCCACGCTTGCAGGCAATTTCCGCTTGCCGGTTTTCAGAGAATACTTAATGAGTGGAGGTGAGTCCATCCATGTCCCTCCTTATTCAACAAATTTGTTGACATTTGATCATTCATTTAATCTTAAATTATGGCACATTAGTCTTTATTTTATATTTGGATATTGGTTTAAAATTTTATAACTTATCTCAATCTTTTTGGATAATGTAAAGGTGATGTAAAGGGTAAAGTAAATAACGAAACAGAACCCCAACTCAATGGAAGGCCACAGACGAGTTAACTCTCTTTGGAGGTGGTTCTCAAACTTTCCTGCTCTGTAGGTCTGTGTCCTGTGACCCGTGAAGCGATCGGGCACCTGATCTCCATGAACGGCACTGGAAATGCTGTGGCAATTGCAGTTGGGGGTGCAGCTGAATCACTCACCTGCAGGCCGGGATTGATTACCTTAATACTTAAAAATCGCAAAGGCTTTGTCCGGATGGCACTCCAGCATGGGTATGTACATTCAATGGCCAGGCCACTCTACCACTTGGCTGGGGGCGAACAGATAATAAAGTGCCCACATGCAGTTTTCCCTGGCCAGTGTTTTATGAAATTCAGGACTCATCCTTTTCATGAAATTCAGGCCATCAAGACTTACATGGAGGCTGAATTCAAAGGCTGTTTGTGAAACAGCTCAGTGACCCAACCAACCAGAAACTATTTGCAAAGATTCTTGGATGTGTTCTGTTTAACTAAAGACACAAGGAACCATAAAGATCCTGCCAGTTGGATGGATCGGAGAGCCTCTGCTTAAGCCAGCCCAATGTGTGGCCCCTTGTTTTTGCAGTCTCAAGCCATTATGTGTTAATGGAGACAGTATTCAACTTGATGAGTCACAAAGTCATGCAAACACAATGTAAGAGAGCCAGTTTGGTGTAGTGGTTAGGAGGACGGACTCTAATCTGGGAGAACTGGGTTTGATTCCCACTCCTCCACATGCAGCTGCTGTGTGACCTTGGGTAAGCCACAGTTCTCTCAGAGCTGTTCTCTCAAGAGCAGTTCCCAAGGAGCTCTCTCAGCCCCACCTACCTCACAGGGTGAGGAAGGGAAGAAGATTGTAAGCTGCTCTGAGACTCTGAGTGAAGGGCGGGATATAAATTCAATGTCCTCCTCCTCCTCGTCTTCTTCTTCATACTGTCATTTGCCCTCACTTATTCATGATGGTCTCTCCCACACAGGGCCCACCTGGTTCCCGCTTTCTCTTTTGGAGAGAATGATCTTTTCCAGCAGCTGGTCTTTGAAGAAGGCACCTGCATGAAGAGCTTACAGAACAGGTTCCAGAAACTGCTGGGCTTTGCTCCCTGCTTCTTTTACGGAAGGGGATTTACCTCTGTCCATTCCCGAGGTTTCCTGCCTTTCCCCAGGCCCATTACCACTGTCAGTGAGTATCTTCTGACCAACTCTTCTCCTGCCTATATACACTCTTCCTTTTACTATATACACTCTTCCTTAATACTGTAGAACATGGAAACAGTACCAAGTCCTATTCGCCCATAGTGAACTGGGCACAGAATCCTAGGATGGGCTAGGAGAGAAACCTTAGAGAGTGTCATCTGCTAAGAAACTGGACATCGGTCAATAGCAAGGAATAGAGAAGGGTTTGAGTCTCATACACACACTTTGACATTTTGCTGCATAATAAATCCTACCTGCCTGGGATTCTGAAAAGAAGGGAGAGTCCAACAGTTGTCAGTCCTGAATAGACACTGGTGGCCTGTATTAGACACTCCTAATTGCTCTTTGTATTGAGCATTGTTAACTGAAGGCCAGCTAGCACTGCCCCCCCCCGACACAGAGTTGGACCTGCTTGCACCCATTTGAGTTCGGTTTTGGAAGAGGATTCCAGAAGCTGGAGTTATGCAAGTTTGAAAAATGTGCTGTCCAGCTGCCAAGGAGTTCAAAAGCCTGAGCCCTGTGCGTCCTCAGGGCAGTTTCACACAAGTAGAAGAAGAAGAAGAAGAAGAAGAAGAGATTGGATTTATACCCCGCCCTTCACTTGGAGTCTCAGAGCGGCTTACAAACTCCTTTCCCTTCCCCTCCCCACAAAAGACACCCTGTGAGGTGGGTGGGGCTGAGAGAGCTCTGACAGAAACTGCTCTTTTTCAAGGACAGCTGTGCCAGAGCTTGTGACTGACCCAAGGTCACACCAGCAGGTGCAAGTGGAGGAGTGGGGAATCAAACCCGGTTCTCCCAGATTAGAGTCCGCACACTTAACCACTACACCAAACTGGCTCTCAGAACATTGTTTATTTTAAAAAGAATTATAAAGTTTATTTCAATTTAGTTTTAGGTTTAGGTTTAGTATACAGCCAACACTTTACTCTAAAATCATGCAGCAAAAAAATAAGAAAAATTAGCTCAACTGTCTTAACACTTTCAGGGCTTGTGTTAGATGGCACAAACCTTAAATTTCAAAATCAAAGGCCAAAGCTCAGGCATTGTCTACATTGCTAGCAATTGCCATTCAAGCCTCTGGTCCACAGGATCTCAACTAGTCTCTCTTCATCAGGGCCTATAGCTTACTTATAGTTTTTAGTCAGGAACGTCAGGTGAGGATGACATCTAATCAGAAGATGTTCTTAGGAGAAGCCTCTAGAAAATTACCTCATCACCTCTGACTCCCCTCACTTCAGCAGGCCGCAGGTTCTCATAAGAAGCTAATCACACCACCTCCATCTCTGGCCTTGAAGATGATAAGGCTAAGAGACCTGCAAGATGGACCAGGCCCATTATTATTCACATTAACCCTTGAGGGGGAGGCCAGAGGTGCTATGCCTCACACCAGCACACCCTCCCCCTCCATATTCCAAAGACCTGTACCAAGCAAATTCTACTTGTCCCTGCCCCTCTCCACACTCAATTATAGGCTGGTATATTGATGGGCAGAAATTTCGCTCCATTCTAAGGGGGAAATGCATTGCTTGGGCTAAGCCTTTCTTTCCTTTGCTATCAGGGGAGTCTGTGGGCTGCGTGCTTTTAAAGGCAACGTGGGGAAGCCAGCAGGCTCCCATCTGCCTTGCACTGAGATGCAGCCCTTCGGCATCATCCCAGTAATTGGCAGTCTATGGATACAGGATTACATAAGAACATAAGAGACGCCAATGTTGGATCAGGCAAAGGCCCACCCAGTCCAACACTCTGTGTCACACAGTGGCCAGAAATACCAGTGCCATCAGGAGGTCCACCAGTGGGGCCAGGACACTAGAAGCTCTCCCACTGTTGACCCCCCCCAAGCACCAAGAAGACAGAGCATCACTTGCCCCAGAGCCCCTATCTATACCTTGTGGCTAATAGCCACTGATGGACCTCTGCTCCATATGCTTATCTAATTACCTCTTGAAGCCGTCCATGCTTGTAGCCGCCACCACTTCCTGTGGCAGTGAATTCCATGTGTTAATCACTCTTTGGGTGAAGAAGTACTTCCTTTTATCCATTCTAACCCGACCGCTCTGCAGTTTCATGGAGTGCCCACGAGTTCTTGTATTGTGAGAAAGGGAGAAAAGTACCTCTTTCTTTACCTGCTCTTTCCCATGCATAATCTTATAAACCTCAATCATGTCACCCCTCAGTCGTCGTTTCTCCAAGCTAAAGAGCCCTAAGCGCCTTAACCTTTCCTCATAGGGAAAGTGTTCCAACCCTTTTATCATTCGAGTTGCCCTTTTCTGCACTTTTCCCAAAGCTATAATATCCTTTTTAAGGTGTGGTGACCAGAACTGCACACAGTATTCCAAATGAGGTCGCACCATTGATATAATCCTATTGGTTGCATTTATCGAGACCGTGCAATCCTACTAGAGTCTCTGTGAGAGGGGCAGGCTCTAAAGTGAATAAATTGACCTGCAAACCACTTTCCCAGCTCCTATGATCCCTGTAGAAGTCTGAGATCCATTTTTCATGCTTACCAAGAGAAAAGAAACGTGACCTATCACAATTTTGGACTCCTGAGAAGCCATGTTGCTGCTCACATTCACCTTCTTGCCTATAGAACAGCCCTCCCCGCCCCCAATGTGGCATCCATGGCTACAGTGGTGCCTGCTGACACCTATCCTGGGACCCACCAAGTGTTTTTAGAAAGTGGGCGGGGTCAGATAGGGCTTTTGCCCCGCGAGGCTTCTGATTGGCCACTGGAGATTCAATGAACTGTGCAGATTCTTTAAAATGTTGCTCTGGCAGCAGCTGCCAACCCAGGACAAGAATCTTCTCTGTGTGACTGTAGGTGAGCTGCGGCAGCCATTCTTGTGACCGGCTCCACCTCCTTTGCCAGGCATTTTGTGGCTGCCATTGTGTAGCTGAGCCCACCACATTGGCTCAGAATGCAAAGGTGCCCACAGGCTCAAAAAGACTGAAGACCCCCGCTACAGAAAAATGAAACCTCCGGTCTTTTGCCTTTCCTTTTCTTGATGGCTTGTCTATAGGGTAGCCAGAGACTGAACAGGACATTCCATGGATGACCTCAAGGTAGCTGGGCCCGCGTGCAGAAATCGGGCGAGTCGGCCGCAGCCTTTATGGTCGCCCTGCGCCAGCTGGCGATGGACTGCTCCTTCACCAAGGTGGAGGAGAACTTGCTCACGGAGTTCGCGTGGGGCCTCAGCGACCTCAAACTGCGGAGGAAGATGGTAGGGACCGCCGACATCAAACTAGAGGCGGCCCTTCAACTCGCCATCGCGCACGAGGACTCCCATTGCCAAACCTCGACAGCGCACCAAGTACTCCCCAACAGAGAGGTCCAACGGGCCTATGGAGGGGCCCGGCAGTGCACTCAAGCGCCGCAATGCACCCAAGCGCCGCAACGCACTCAAGCGCCGCACCCGAGCACCGGCCGCCAGCTTCCCAGCACATCCGCGTGTGCAAGCTGCGGGGACCCGCACGACCGCAAGACCTGCAGGTTCCGCAACGCCACATGCTACAACTGCGGCCGCACGGGCCACATCGCAAAGGCCTGCCGCTCCAAAGCAGCTCAGCCGAAGGCGGCGACCCACTTCGAGGAAGACACCGGCGCTGAGGACCTCTACCTCCTCACCCAGACAGTGGAGAAGGTATTGCAACTCCCCGGCAAGGGCCCCTTCCCCAAGTTCATGGCCACCGTCACGATAGAGGGATCCCCATGTATGATGGAGGTGGATTCGGGTTCCGCGGCCTCCATAATCTCCACAGCAACCCTGAGACACCTCTGCCCCAGGGGGGGACCCTGATTGCGCCCAGCCCAAATTACGCTTATGGATTTCCAGCGCAACCCGGTGCCGGTCAGAGGAGTCGGAACCTTCCGGGTGCAGTTTAAGAACTTTAAAAGGAACCTGGACTTAATAGTGGTCGAAGGCGACCTTGTCAGCTTACTGGGGCGGGCCTGGTTTGAACCCCTGGGCATCACTGTAGAAGGAGTACAGGCGTGCACGACCCAGGACTTCAAAGAGATTTGCCGCGAGTTCCCCGCTGTTTTCGATGATTCTCTGGGCAGATATACGGAAGCAAAAGGCAAGGGGCAGGCCGCTTTTGAGGGCTGTTTTAGTCTTTGATGATGTACTCATCAGGGCCAGCAGCAAACACTGGGCAACTTGATACCATTTGACTTCCATAACTCACCAAGGCCTAGCTGCTCACTTAGTGCTTAACAGCAGCCATTGCACAAAAGTCAGTGTGATGTGGGGGTTAGAGTTTCAGAGTAGGATCTGGGAGACCCAGGTCAGAACTCTCATTCTAACATGGAAGCTCCCTGGATGACCTTAGGTTCATCACACATACTCAATTTACCTCACAGGGTCCATGTGGGAAATGGAGGGAAAGCAGCAGGATGCGATGGCTCTTGAGGCTCCCAGCCTTCCTCCCCTGCCCTCCCCTGTTCACCTGAAGCATTGCCTTAGTGGTGGGTGTGGCAGTTGCCAGAGGGAATCCCATCATTCCCCTCTTCCTTTACTTATCAATCCACCTGCCAGCCTGCAGTGCCCCTGTGTTTGCAGCCAGATTTACATGGCAATGGGGATAGAGAAGCTCACTCTCCCATTCCCACCTCACTGCCTCTGCCTGCCTGCCTGCCCACCAGTCATTGTGGGCAGCTGCTTCTCCTACTGTTCCCTCCACCATCCACCTGCAGCCCCACTGTCTCCTCCAGCTGACTCAGATGGTTGCAGCTCCCCTCCACCTCACCAGTCTCTCACATGTGCCCCCCACAGATGATGGCAGGCCAATGAAAGCGTGTTATTTGCACAAGCACAGACAATGATGCTCTGTTTAGGGGGATTTAACTGCCCCCCCTAAAAGTTTTCATATTCTGTAATCCTGGACGTACCCCAACATTGTAGAAATACCTGTTTTCTCTCTAGATGGCCCCAATCTACAGTTTTAAGTATCTGCAGATGGAGCCATGTTTGGAATTAGATATAGTCA